ATTTTTTTCTCTATTTTGCAGGACCTCATGAACCGCTGCCGGGGAGAGATTCCTACGCCGACTACTGGCCAATTTTCCCATTTTCGAATCACTTCCAGCTTGGTCTTGACGTTGATCCAGCGCAGTCCAGGGTTCGTTCGTGTTCATTCCAAAACATCGCTTCGGCAGTTGCTTGAGAAACTGTAGTAGAAAGGTATATTGAAATAAGGAGGAGAGTCGAGGAGGAAAGTGCGAAATAAGAACTAAGAAGTTAGTAAAATTACTGGAATTATTTTAATAAAATTATTATAATGGTAAGAAATGTTTCGACCCAGCATACGGCAGCTCTACCAACCCTTAAATAGTACTCTCCGGTCTAAAGAAATTGTATTTCATGCTTCCCACTGAATCTTTTTATTGCTTTTGCCGTGTACTTCCCTTAGCTCGATTGCAGCATGCCGGCGGTGACATATATGTACCGGTGCCTACTTGGGGTATCTGGGACTTCTCGGGCCGAGTGTTCTGGCGTGTTCAAGACTATAACACATTAGTCGGCTATCACACTTCACCAGTGAATATGCTCGGTCTAACCAAAGATGATTTTATTCGACTGATGTCCGATCCATCAATGCATTACAATCGAAGTAAATTTTTGATGATTTAAGTTTTTTACTTACTTTTTCCTGTAACTTGCCTATATTTCAAAAGCTGTTACAGAAAAGGAGACTTTTGCTTCCGCTTTTCATCCCTGTACCAGCCACCGCCCAAACAACGTTGATGTCCCAGTCTATAACGGGCTGCTTCCCCATGCATATTGATAGCAGTTTTCGTAAATTAAATAATGAACTTTGTGGAAATGTTTCAGCGGGTATGTTGGCACTGCAAAAACTCTTCTACGATTCGAAAATAAGAAACAAGGCAGAACACAGATTCAGCAAAATATGCACTTTTGTAACTAGATTATTATTATTATTATTATTGTTATTATTATTATTATTATTAATTACTATTATTATTATTTATAAATGCAAGCTTAATGTTTGTGAAAGTAAAAGCCAACTTTCCTGCATCGTACGGTACAGCCCGGCCGGGCACTTTCTACGCTGAGAAACTATTTCAGATCATCAGCTTTGAGAAGAAAAAAGTACAGATTAGAAATAATGGGTGTATTTTCATAATTAATGTAAAAACGGCCTTTCCAGATAACCAACCACTATTACCGGTTGCAAAATTACCGAAAGCATTTGTGCCAATGTCATGTCGCCCGCCAATGTGCAATCCTTACACGCAAAACTTTGCACTTGGGGTAAGTGTATTTTGATGGATTATCATCAGCTATTGTAGAACTAAATATTTTCCCTCGGTTGCTTACAGTGCAGCGCCACAGTCAGCGAAAGTTGAGGCAGGTAATCATCTCTTTATGTGTGTTTGGTCAAAGTGTTCCCTAGATGGAAAGTGGAATACCGTGAATAGAGTCTAGGTTTTGCAAGGATGTATACCAAGAGAAATCGAACTCCGTTTTTTTCAGAATTAGTCAAATTTTGATATATTAACCATTACAATACCGGTCCTTTTGCTCCATCGCAGATGTTTAAGATTTTTTTCTTGCATTTATTAATAGCTCCGAACATACGTTGTATCTGCTTGCAGCTGTTTCATCTTTATACATCCCATAGTATGGCTGCTTTCTTTAATTTTGGCTGTCTTTCACAGCAGGGAGGGGGTACAGTACAGTATAGCATATGTTCAAGCATTGTATATGAAATATCATGCTTTTGCTCAAAAAAAATTAGGACAGGTTTAAACGCCTTAATTCACTGCACTTCCGAAGGAGAGTTTTCAAGGCTGCAACTCTCATCACAGAATGAGGAAAGGCACTGTTCTCAAGCAGATCCTTTCACACTTTTATAAATTGTTCACTGAAAATTTTTCCAATTTTGGGTGGTTTTTTTATCATTTTTAGATGAATTACAAGCCACTGGTACCCACCAAACAAGCACCATACTAGACTAATTATTAATATTCTATTCATCATCTTATTTCTGATCTTCCTCCTGCTCTCTTTTTATTTTTTTAACGTGCATTTTTTCAATAGAATTCATATGGAAATCCAAAAATTCCGTTGAGTCCAGATCATCGTTGCCGTAGATTATTCTGTGCACGACGATTAAATCAGCAACAGTTCGTCATTTCCAAACTCTCCGTTCTTTTACATCAATTTTCGGATGCTGCATATAACTCATCATGCATTGTTGTAGATTGAACACGACTGGGGATATGTGAACGGGCTAGACGGAGAACTCGATTTGCCGGTTCCAATTTCTAAAAAATTAGCTTACCGTCTTCCGCTCTCAGGAAATATTTATTACCGTAAGTACAACTGTTTTGTTCCTAACAATATTCTGTTTTTATGCGTTTTTGCCGTGCAGCGCTAGAGCGCTGCAACAGGCAGCAAAAACGCATATTG